GGAGGTGAGTAATTCGAGCGTCGATATATCGAGTAACATATTGGACTAGCTAGCTATATCTAGTAATGTATCGTGTTAGCTAGCTATATCGCCCGATAGTAAATAACCCAATTCCAATTGCTAACTAGGTATATCGGGTAGTATATTGAGTTAGCTAGCTAGATCGCCCGATAGTGGATATTTTTTTTCTCCTTGGGTACAAAGGTGCCAGAACCGTGCTCTTTACACTTTTGAAAAGAAAAATGTTGAGGCTACCCGAATATAAAAAAGTAAATGAAAAAATACCACCTGCAGGTAGTGTACTTCTTGAAAACGTTTTGACGTTTTGAACGGGTTTTCTACCAATAAAAAAGTTTTAGAATTTGAATTTCATATAGTGCCTATGTACAGGTAAAATGAAAAAGCCCGTAACTGACTCATTTTTCATCGACTTCAGGAAATGTTCAAAATAAGTTATAGATTATACATCAAGTAGCAAGTCTTGTAATTTTTCACCGTTAATGAATAAATTTTTAAAAGAATTAAATTTAAACATTTTTAAATTAAATTTTAAAAGAATTTAAAGGACGGCAGCGGATAAGCACAAAATATTCCTTTAACTAATCGGACCAAAAGACACATATTCTGAATCAGCGTCGAAGTCTGAACAAAGCTGTCGATTCAGTTTCTCGAAATGTTGACTTCGGGTTAAATGTTCATTGTCTCCTCAGAGCTACAGAAAGAAAAAGGAAAAAGGACTTTAGGGTTTTTGTTGTAAACTTCATAACTTTGCAAAGAAAGATCGTGTAGAGCTGGAAAATATCTAGATTTTGATCAGAATTTCACGGGCTACAATCACGACTTATTTAATAAATGTTTTCGAGATTTTTCGAGGTTTCTGGATAACCAATTTTTCAGAAGCCAGCTAGGAAAGCGTTTTCCAAAAAACTGCTTCCCCTAAAAGCATTTTCTGGTTATATTTGGATTCCTCATTCAAAACTAAGTAGGACAGCATGTGTTTTGAACTGCACCTCGGCCTCTCGGGGACGCTGTATCCAAAATAGTTTTCAAAAACCGCATTTTTCGTGGTTTTTTTGCACCGTTTTGACCTATTTTTCCCTTGAAAACTACATTTTTTCCAACTTCTCGACATACCATCTGAAAGCTGGCATTGTGGCGGTTTCAGAACACTACCTTTGAAGGTAACAACAAAATGCCAGCAGTTTTGGTACCATTATCTACCTTTATTTCTTTGTTTTGCATATCCAACTGTGTTTTATTTTTCGTGCATTGTTCTTGGTAATGGGTGTCAACATAATTTTGATTATGAAACACTATTATGTAGCGGACCTTGTTATGTCAATGAAACCACTGTTAGGCGGTGTCGACTGGTTTGCAAATCTTTTTCTGTCAGTGTTCGTGATACCTATATTAAATTTTATATTAGTTGTAAGGATATTATGGAAGAAATGTCACATGAAACAAATGTTGACATGGAAAAAAAACAGAAAGATGACCGTCCAATTATTATCTGTTTCCGGTCTTCAATTAATTATTTTGTTACCAGCTATCGTAACTGGAGCTTTCGAGTTATTTTGGCTGCCAAATTTTTTAGCTGATATTCAATTCACATATTCCTATGATATGTATTATTTTATTCCGTTGTTATTAGCATTTATTTGCTTGGGATCTTTGACAGAAGTACTCAAATCAAATAAAAGACGAAAAGGGTCACCACAGTTGCACCTGTAAATATCAATCGAGTTAGACCACTAGATTATTCAGCTCGAGCCGCAAATTAGAATCAACTGAACATTCGTCATAACGTGATTGAAATATATTCGTTGTTATTGATTTTTTCTCTTCTCTGTGCTTCTGGCACCTCCTGTTTATCGACATCAGTTATGAGGTTCAATATACTTATTGTCTAGTTTCTATAGACCTGAGCGTAATGCTGTTGGTCGCGATGACTGATCCAATTACACTTCTCTATGTCCGATGTTTAGGGTTGCTCAATAGAAAGGATAATGTCACGGTTTCTAGAGATCAAATGCACATACAGTATTTACAGTGAGAATTATTCAAAACAGAAAGAAACCCTATATAGATATATTTCCTTACTGACCGACTGGTGTATTGTACTCGTCAAATGAAAAAATTCAATAACAACGAATATTGAAAATAACTGGAAAGCTCCAGTTATGATAGCTGGTAACAAAATAATTAATTGA